TACCTTTTCCATTGTAGTTGCCTCCTCCTGAAAGATTTGGCCATTTCTCCATAACCATAAGGACCATACAATGCAAAACCAGACCACTGCCCACGCCTTCTGTAAGCATTTGCTAGATATTAAGCCAAAATGTTGTGACATATGTTTCCAGCCTGCTCTTTGTGATACCACCTGTATGCCCTACCAATTGTAGCATGAAGTCCAAATCAGCCATGATTTTTCACATTCAAAAAATAAATGATCTGTGGTCTCAGTCACTTGTCCACATTGTGCACAGGAGGAGTCACTATTCTGAATTTTAACTCCTCTCCTAAACAAATTTTCCTTTGTGGGTATTCTATCTTGTACTGCTCTCCATACAATGGCTGTCACTTTAAATGGAACGTGCTTATTCCAAATTGTTGTGTAAACAGCAGCTTCTGCTTCCCTTGGTTTTGATGACAGCATTTTATATGCCGATCGTACTGAATATCCTTCCTTGTGTCCATTTTTCCAAATCCAATTGTCTTGTTGCCCTTGTTTTATCTGCACTCCTTATAATTCCAACTGAAGTTCCTGCAAAAGATTATGTTCCCATGCAAAAAGAGGCCTCCTCCATCTCCATCTCCATCTCCATTGCCACTCCCTTTCACTCCAATCTCCCATATCAGAAATTAAAGCATCCTTATCCTTCGATAGCCTATATAATCTATCATATTTTTCCTTAAGAGGGCCATTCCCTACCCATACTCTCAAGCACAGAATTGATTATTGACGGCTTAATATACACAAAAGCTTTCTCGTTTTGACAATCATATATACTCTGCACCTTTATTACTTCATCTCTACTTTGGTAAACATGATTATAAGAACAAGCCTGATAAATCTGCATTGAGGATATATATATATATATATATATATATAATATAAAAATAAGTCACAACACCTCCCAATCATCTTGAGCTCCTAAAGTAACATTACAATTTTGAGGGAAAAAAATTTACACAAATGATGTAGAGCAGAGATTCAAAGAAGGGTAATAAGAATGAAAATGAGGAGAGTAGCAATGAAAGTGTACTTGAGAGCAGCAACCAGAATGGCCACCGAGATAAAGAAGAGCTGCCACAGAACTTAATTGGGCACTGGCCCACCCCAGCAAACCCGTCAATCCAACGACCAGGATATTTTCGGGGTCGAGGTCCAGCAGCTCACCCCACCTGAAATTAAATGCAGGCCGCCGATCCTTCTTCGAATCAAAATCGCCACCGTCACCGTTGACGAACCCATTTGGCCGTTCCTTCTCGCCGGATTCTTTGATTAGGTCATCATTGTTCCCGTTTTGAGCAAACAATGCGCACTTGAAGGGGCTCTGGGAATTCGAAATTGGGTTTTGAGAAACGGAGAAGAAGAGTGGTGAGAAAGAAGGGAAGGTTAAGGAAAGGTGGAATGTCTATTTACGTAAATATCCTCATATCCTCGCTGCCTCTCTTTTTTTTGGTGGGGGGCCTAACAAAACTGCTCGTAAGCACATCGGGTTGAATTTGGGTAAGTAACCTGAAAGCCCATTAAATACCAACCCATCGGACCTATCTCCCCTGGCCAATTTATTAGGCTAAGCCCAACTCTGAAATTGACATAGAGGGTAAGTAACCTGAAAGCCCATTAAAGACCATCCCATCGGACCTATCTCCCCTGGCCAATTTATTAGGCTAAGCCCAACTCTGAAATTGACATAGAGGTGGGTCTGCCATGGCTAGCACAAATAGGTGGGCCTCTAGGCTTTTCAGGTCCAAACTAAAAATGCAATATTGCACCAACGCACTCCGTACTCTGATTATTATATATCAAAAGATGATAATTTTGTTTTTCACATGACCTTTTTGTTAAAAGATTTTTACTCACATTTTTGTAATTAAAACAATTATAAATTGGGGTGGTGGAATGGAATCACAATTTAGAACCAACTCTTGGGCTTTAATGTCCCAAGATCATGCCTACCATAAGCACCGATTTCACCATCGTATCACTCAAAGTAATCAATAATTACATGTTTCTTTAATGTAGCAACAATACAATCAAAAGTTAGTATGTTAGTTTTGTTTTTACATGCTTACGTATCCGTGATTGTAAAAAAAATTAAGGTAAATAATGAAAATGAAAATATCATACTTAAATTTGGTTATTTTGACTTATTTAACTAATTTATTTAATTAATTTATTACCTATAATTATAATTAAAAAGTTAAATATCAATTTTAATCTTAATATTTAGAGAAGATAATCGGGGTCGAAGTTGAACTGT